TAACAAGCACAAGTAGACAAATTATCGTGTGTGAGAAAAACAACAAAATTCATAGAAATGGCAAACCCAAAGGTTTACTTCGATATGACGATTGGTAGCCAACCGGCCGGTAGGACTGTTATGGAGCTCTTCGCTGATGTAGTCCCTAAGACCGTCGAGAAATTCCGCACACTTTGCACTGGCGAGAAAGGCGTTGGCAAGTCCGTCAAGCCTTTGCACTACAAAGGACCATCCTTCCACCGTGTGATCCCTGATTTCATGTGCCTGGGTGGAGACTTCACCGCTAAGAACGGTATAGGCAGAGAATCGATCTACGACACTAAATTCGCTGATGAGAATTTCGTGAAGAATCACACAGGTCCCGGAATCCTCTCCATGGCTAATGCTGGGCCTAGGACCAACGGATCTCAATTTCTCATCTATACCACCAAGACTCAATGGCTTGATGGAAAGCACGTGGTCTTCGGACAGGTGGTTGAGGGAATGGATGTTGTGAAGTCCATCGAGAAGGTTGGATATAGTTCTGGAAGGACCTCCAAGCCTGTTGTTGTCGCTGACTGTGATCAACTCTCTTAGATCTATCTAGTGAAGATCTGTTGTTATATCAAAGATCTGATGATGATTCTTTGTTTTCATTTTTATGACTATTTTAGTTTGCTGTTGGGTTTGTGTTCGGGTTGTGCTACGAGAGACTAGATTTTAATCTGAATTTCCCTCATAAATAAGATTCATGCAACTTTTTATGCTTAATAAACACTATTGATTGTTGTTTGATAATTTTTTTTCCTTTTTTTTTATGATTCTTCATATTTTAGTAAGTTAATTCAATTTTAGGTCTTTAACAAGGCAATTTTGCACTTGAAATTGGGATCGTAATTATCAACGCTGTAGCCTAGATATTATGTGATACCTGATTGTGACTTTCCCATTCTTTCATTAGATAGCTTGTTACAGAGGCGAAGAATTGGTCAATTGTGCTATGGAGTTAAGGACACTTGTTAATACATGATTTGGACGGTTTGAAAAAAAAAAAAAAATCCACGTCCTACCACCCCCACCATGTCAACTTCCCTTCGTTTGCCCTGTTTGAAGAGCATTATTTTTATTGTTCATTTTCTCATTAATGTCAAAAAAAAAGCTACACAAGGAAGAATAATGATTTTGCTTGGCATTATAATACTCGTTATTAATTGAAGACGAGGAGGAAAAGAAGTTCAACAGTTAATTATAAATAGAAAATGAGGTAGATTTTAATCCTTTCATCTCTCTTTCTTGATTTTGAATGTGTAATAGCAAGAAATCAATTTAATTTGTTTGCAGAAACAAAGGGATAAGGAAAGTTTTCGTTCTTGTAATTCCAATTATAGCCAAAAGAAAGATGAAAATAACCATGTACGTCACTTCATTTTTGTTCTCTTCTACCTCTTCAATCTCTCCTTGTCTAAAATCAATTATTATGTCTTCGTCATCGTTGTCATTCATGCCATTAGCTCAAGATTAGGCAATGTCACTGGCAAACGTTCAGCTAGGTCTTTGAACACGTGCCTAAATACATAATGCATAATTTATGCCCAAATGAAATCAAGGCTTACCATGAATCCAAATTGTTATATTTGGAACGTCCACTAGAATCACAACTCTATTGTATAATTATAGCACTTTGGTAGGCATGAGGCACAAGTGAATTTGAATTAGCCAATGGATGGATTTTTGGGAATAAATCTAGTTTTAGGCCCCAATTGGGCCAAATTCTAGATGGGAAAAATACATAACTACAATATTTTAAATATATAGTTTCACATTTAACGAACTTACAAAAATTAGGTTGAAAATGAAAATTAAGAAATCAAATCCATCATAATCTTTTTCCACAATTATTCTCTCTCTCTATTCAAATGCCCAATCAATACCCGCCCAATCCACCGACCCATCCCATCTTCATGCGGCAAGGAGATAGTGTTGAAGGTGAGGACTTGACGGAGAAATGGAAGACTTGATCTTAATCACCCATAATCTCTATCTACACAAATTCTCTCTCTATTCAAATGCCCCAGTCTATACCCACCCAATCCATCAGACTTATCACATCTTTGTGAGGCAAGAAGATAGTGTTGAAGGTGAGGACTCGACGAAGGAATGGAAGACCCGATCTTGATTGTCCTGCCATTGCCATTTTCCAAAATATAGGGTTTTGATTTCTCTTGTTTTTATATATTATTTTTCTTATTTGTTTAGATGTAGAGTGAGAGATGAATTGTGACGATTAAAACAATTTATTTATTTATTTCCTTATCAATTCATCATCAACATCTCTTTCCTTCTCAGAGAAATGGATCTATTAATTGCTGCCCTTAATTTTGTGGTCCCTCCAGTAAGCCTAGTCATGTTGGCATTGGCCTATCAACCTTGACTTTAATCAATACTTCCACTCTAGAAATTTTGTGGATTGAAAATGAAATAGATGGTGAAGTTGTTGTGATGTTAGGACTAGCATTTTATCAGGTTGTCGGTTTTAACAATGGAACACATGAATTTTGTAGTCACTTCTAGAGTGCCGATACACTTACATTTCAAATTTTCTTGATTTTGGATAATGAAATTATAATTTTTTTTAACAATAATTTAATTAAAGGATTAGTAAGTGACATTCTAAACTCAAAATGAAGGGAAATGGTGTGATTCATGACTAATAGAAATGGTATGATTTGTGCCAAGAAGAACGAGTGATCATGATCAGTAAATTGTATAACTTGTAATTAATAAATATGACCATGTCTTTCTTAAATGTGACTATCTATGACCTAATTTGTCTTAACTTTGACTATATGTGACCAGTGTCATCTTGACTATGACTATATGAGATCGTACCTCTATTAATAATGTTTTGTAATCTAATATGTGAACAATGACTTTTGTGTGACCAAATTTCTGCTAATTGTAACTACTTGTGACCTTTTATGTATTAACTGTGACTCTTTGCCAAGTTTTTGTTATTTGTAATTATCTGTGACTAAGTCTATTTTTCACTGTGAATGTTTGTGACCTATAATGTCTTCATTATAACCTATTATTATTCAATTGTAACATTGTTGTCTGATTGCAACTTATATTAATCAAAGACCTACTCTATAGGTTACAAGCATTTTAGCCAATTTTCATAGTATTTCTTGGTTTCTTCAAAAATTTGAGTGGCTCCAACTGAGTCCATGTCTCTATAACTCATTTAGCATCACGATTGCAACAACTCCCCCTATAACATCCCGTCGGTATAAGAATTAAGGGAGATTTCTATCAAAGGTAAGAGAAAATGGTCGAACCTTTTGCAATCGCCGCCACCTCCTCGGACAAATAGGCAAAAAGACCGCCAATCACCACTACCACACAAAATGCCATTGCTATCTCACCACCATCACCACTACCACTACCATACAAATCTGTACTGCCATCGCACCATTGCCACTCGAATCTGTCCATACACCCCGCACCACCACTTTGCCAAATAGTCACTTGCAAATGCATTTGTAAAGCCCTCTCGTTGCTGTCCTTCCTACATTTGATTATCAATCAATCACTCCCGACCTCCATCTTTCTCTTTGCAGTGGTCAGACCAGCATTGATTCACTGTGCTAGGTAGGTTCGACTCAGATTGCACTATCATTATTGGAGAATCCATATACAAATTTGAATATGGTTCTCATAAATTGTGGTAAATAGCAAATTCCATGAGTCCTCTCTAATGGGTTTCTTGACATGAAAATAACAATATTGGTAGAATTGACCTCTGATTTCGAAGAAGGTGGAGGTAGAGTCGAAGGGTGTCACTGGAATTCACTTTGCTTTGGTTTCCTTTCTGCTCTGGCTGTAAATAGAAAGTAAATGATTTTTTTTTCAATAAACACCTAAGTTTTGTTAAAAAAAAATTAATAACTTGATTTATGGTTATCAAATTTTAAATCCATTGCTAGAAGGATCCCTATTTCGTTGTGGGAAAATTGGGCTTACTGGACATGATAATGAACAATAATTTGCCCTTAAGAATTAAAAATTAGGCTAAGTTGGGAATAAATTATAGCATTGGTATTTTGGAAAAAAAAATTATAATGAGGGGGTATTTTTGGAATGAAATTATTGGGTGGAATTCTGATGTTGGATTTATATGGGGTTTTAAGTGGGGGTGGTAATGTGGCCTATTTGGGCAGTGATTTAGTGGATCGTGTGTTTTTTAGAGCCAGTTTGATGGCCATTTAAAAAAAAGTATTTTCGAATATTGACTTAATGGAGAATGTGTGGTTAAAAATAAGGACAAGTTTTGAATTTGTATGTAATATTATTTTATTGAAAAATGTGTTGTTGAAAAGAACATAGAGAAAAATGTATTTTGAAAAAAATAAGAATCAAATAAACCCTTAATAGGACCCAACGGTTACTCGACAACTTCTCCTTAGGCTCATGATATTGGACTGGAAAAGTGGTTTAACCGGTAAAGAAAAGCTCTCGCAGATTTTGTGGGAATAGATATCGAGTTTTCTCAAATTTAGTGATAGATTTGAACAACACTAAAAGTCCAGGGACAAATTTTCATGCTCTAGAAATTCCAGGGATTAATTAAAAACAAATTAGTAATAACTCAAGGGCTCTTTTAATGTAATTCTATACTTTACGAATCAATATGACTTACTGTCAAAAAGTTCATGGATTGATATGCTAAACTTATAAATCCTCATGGACCATTTGAACAATTTGTTGTAAAATTCAAGGTCAGAATTGTAATTTGTAGAAAATGAAGTAATAATGGGCGAAAATGGCGAGCTTGGTGACTTTTACATAGAGTACTCAACAAATGGATCAAAAGGGCAGCATAATTTGTGTGATAAGAAGAAGAGAAAATCTCTTGTGGAATCAAATCACTTTGTGAACTAGGTTAAGGCACAAGTGAAAAAGGGGTCTTCGACCATTTTAAGACGCAACATTAAGATTGGTAGCCAATTGAGAGATGCCATAAAAGAGTTGGAGTGCTGAGTTCTATTCAATATATTTTTTAGAAAGAGACAAAAACTCAAGTTTGGAAAACAAATGAATCAGCCAAACAAACATAATTGACAATATAGATTGTTTGAAACATGTTGTATAGTTAGCAAGGAATCGTGTTTGTCATCTACATTGCAATTTAACATATGGGCTTTGGTTGGCAATGCTACCAAAAATCATACCTATTGATTTTTGAACTCGATGACTGAGATTGATCACAAATAAGATCTCTCGGTACCTAAAACAAAGGAGTCGAGGTGTGTCCTCGTCGTATCTCCAATGTTTAAGTTAGAGAGAGAATTTATGCGTAAGGCTATGAGCTAAAAATAATGTTAAAACGTAACTGAATAATGAACTTTGGTCATGTATTTATAGATCTTGGTGATAGAGTTCCAAAATGACCCAATCACTTGTCATCCTTATCCTTATCATGCAAAGTGTTTGTATTATATTGAAAGTGTTTTACTTGAGTTTGAATTGAACCGTGATAGGTAAATAATTTTGATGAGGATAAAGGTCAAGGAGAGTTATAGTCAAAGTTGATGTAAGGTAAAGATTAGTTCCCTGACATATACCCCAAACTGGATAGGCCAGACCATGCTTAAGCACCCAGACCTCGATGATTAGGCATATGAGGAATGTCAACATCGGGCCATTAAATTCGAGATCGTGGTTCTCGACATTTGTAAACATCAAGGACCCCATACATCCATATCGCAGCTAGCAGTT